GAATCGGCTCGTGCAATTTCAGCTTTTTGAAAAACTCACTCGTGCAAATTAATTCCAAATTGAACTCGAAACCGTATGATTACCTATACTTACCAAAATGTAAGTTTTCTCTGCTCTCGCCATCATTACGTCAACAGCTCTGATTGGCTGAGCTACTCGATTACTATCACCTATTAGAGTACAGTGGCTGTCGGTCGTCCACAAAATGCGACGTTTCAATCGTTTTTCCGAAGTTTTGGAAGAAATTTTGGATGTAAATGGATAATTAAATTCCTTAAAAGACTAAAAGAAGGACACAAGCGGTTTCTTGACTTTAAAAACTTGACATTATTGAAAAAAACGGGTGCACGTGCGTAAATGACTGCAAATTTACGAAGCACAATTTAATGCGTGCGAATTTGTTAAAGCGTAAAATTAAATAATGCATAGAAAAATAATTAGAAACCGTTATTTACATTAATCTCAGTTAGAATTCCACTAAAACAATTAGATTATTCGCTCTCGATTTCTATGAGGCGATAGTTGATTCGGCCTTCGGCCTCATCAACTATCACCTCATAGAAATCTCGAGCTCATAATCTGATTGTTAAATAGAAACACGACTTTTAACCAATCAGCGCACGTATTTTCTTAAGGATGTTTTCGAATGATATATATTAACTGTGATGTAATTGAACTGTTGATATGAATACTGACTTGTTTTAATTTCTTTTTTTTCCAGGACTGCTCGCTTAAAAGTTGCAGTCTAATACAGCGATCAAAGTCTCATTCCAGGAAATTATGCCAGTCTATGGTTCTTCCAGCAAGTGTAACCGGTGGTTCTTCAAGTTTAATGGTAACGAATGCAGTGGACCAATGACAATCGAAGCTCTTGTGTACAACAGTTGGCCATCTGGGAAACCCTATCTGCTTCATCATCGATCATTTGAGGGATACTGTGAAAACATCCCACAGGGCACATTTAGAGTGGAATTATGGGTAGGACAGTGTCCTGGCGATGCTTTGGGTGACGCTCGCACTGGATGGGAATCAGTGTCCCGGATAATGATTGAGGAAGTGTCTAAGCCCGTCCTAATTAATCAGCTCTCACGATCGAGATCATCGCTGCTTTAGCTTATCCTCATTAAGTTATAGAAATGAGAACTGTCATTTTTTTGTGCTTTTAGTGAAACTGGTTTAGCCGTGCGAGTGGAAAAAAGTAAGCCCATAAATGTGATCAGTCCGAGGATAAACATTTTCTAAATTTGAAAGCTAGGAAATTCACGAAGCTTAGTCTACTTTGCACGTGCACTTTACCTAATTAATGATGGGAAACTAATTTTGTTACATAGTACTTGCATGTAATACCATTAGAATAAATTCTAAGTTGAGCAAGTCAAATGCAGACTCCAACAAAATTGATTTTGCTCGGTATGATGGCTACTCTACAGATAACAGTTGCATTGTATTACAGTTGCGTTGCATTGTAATTTAATTGTGGCCTCTTCTATGGATGCGTTCAGTTAGTTGGGTCGTAACTCAAAAATACAGCGGAGCGACGAAGGGAGAGAGGGGCTTAGTGCCTTCCCGCTCCGCGCTGCTCCCCTATTTTTTCGTGCGCCATTTTCGCACTGCGCCCTAACTAACTGAACGCCTGGAAGAAGGTAAATTTTTTATTGTGACTCTCCCATTAATTCCTATCCACTGTTTACCAAATACAAGTGACATATTCTTTAGTAATTCAGCAGTTTTTTTTTCATTTTCTTTTTGTATTTTGCTATTTAAAAAATCAGGCATTTCGAGTGGTAGCGTGAACTTAGTACATTTTTAAAGAAAATAAAGGTTAAAAGTTTCAAAAGTGATCCTCCATCGCATTTACAAGGTGGTCCAGGTTCTTACATACGCAGTTAATCGGGATGATTTAATTTTTTTGGGGGGGACCAATGTATTGGTTTTGTCAACGGGGCGTAGCTATAGTAGTCAAAAGGCGAGGTTAAACTGTACCGGCATCTCTTTTGTCATTCTATATATGTACTTCTCCTACCATCATTTCACAGTCCCAGAGTCTACAGACACAGAATTAGGGAAAAACTGCCAATTTTGAGTTCCTGAACCTCGTGCAGAAACTTCGGACAAACAAGAACATATATTGCAGAGGACGATAGCGTGCGATAGCTCAGCCAATCAGACTGTAGAATTTATGACAATTTGGTATTTTATAATATAGAACGTCCGGGAAAATCATTCGAGTAAATTCTTCAAGTATTGCTAGTGAAATGTTCCTTGTCATTTTCGGTTGAATGGTTCGCTTTTCGGAAATTCAACAGTTTCCGGATTTTCGGGAATGTTTCTCAGGAAATTTACTCGCCATTTGTACTCGTTTCGAAATTTTCGGAATTTTTGGTTGAATAGAAATCGAAAGTGCCTCTGGTTTCCCAAATGAACAGACCAATAAAAAGCAAGATGATCTGCTAATTAACGGACCCTTCCTCAAACGTACTGTACGTTTGTAGAAGTTCGGTTCGATTCGTTGAACATGGGTTGTTTTGGATATTGGTTGCGAGTGTTTGAACTCTCAAATTGCGATGTCTCATTGATTCGTTTACATTCTCGCAAATCATAGTAATTCTGAGCCCCTTAAAATGATCTGACAGCGAATCCGTTATCATCCTTGTTATTCACCATGATTGAAGCCACGCGTCGAAGCAAAAGTAACGACGAGGAAGCAACGCACAAATATCTCTTCGTCATTCTTGTTTATTAATCATCTGAGAGATACATATTATAAACTACGCATCATATACTTTAACTACAGTAATCAAAGCCTTGGATCATTGTGCGAAGTGAAAATTAGGTAATGTTGCTCATTACCTCTGAAAACTTTTCCAAGGTAAAATCGGTTAGTCGCGAAAAGTTAAGTTTTTCAAGGCCAATTTTGTATTTCTCATGGTGAAATGGCCTTCTCTAACCATGGCTGTAAATGTAAAGTGCCCTTGGTTCCTTAGCAAAAGGCGATGTATAAAATGAATTATCATCATTATCATTAATGACGAAGAGTCCCTTTTGGTCTCAACGGCCGCATTTATTAAAGAAGAAGAATAATGTGTCTCAGACGCACATTGTATCGAACATCAAGTGCGTCTACAATCGTGGACAAAAGTCCTTGGGCCGACACTTATGTAAGTTAACGAATTATCTGTGTTTTACTACTGAAGTTTGCAAATAGCGCTGCTTTCCTTTTAAAAACGCGTTACTGTTCCCTCTCCCCACCCGATACAATGTTGAAAATCAGAAGAAATTGCACGTAGTAGTTTTCAACATTGTATCGGAGGTATGGGGCGAGGTTAGGCCGGTGAAGTTGTATTCGCGTCTGGCGTGTGCGCAAAAGCACCAAAAGTGCAAATTTGTCCTGAGACTTTTGTCCATGATTGTAGTTCAATAAAAGTCGTGTTTTTTTAACAACTAAAATTCTTTTGAGAGAGCAGTGTCAGTCGCTATATTACAGATTGAGCAGATTCCCATTTCAGGGAAATGTGTATTTTTCTATCTCATATTTAGCTAGAGGAATTATACTTCGGAGAAGTTAAATGCGTCCATTTCATAAAATTGTTGAGTTCGTCTGACGTTTAATGCGTTTTATTTCTGTATACACTAGACAAATAATACGTCTCAGACGCATTATTAGTCTTGCTAGGTAAATACGGAAATGTGCGTAATCTTTCAGTTAAAGTTTAATGTGATGGCATTTATCACGTGTTCCGTCGAAAATTGTATAGTCTTCGAGGCAGTGGTTTCCTTGAAAACGATAGGGGCACAAAGCGGAGAAGAAACTTTGTGGTGAGTGGGGTGAGGAACGAAAGTGCTCTCTTCTTCTGGCCTCTCTCACTCATTCTTGCTCCCAGGGTCCCGCACTATAAGATTCTCCGCGCCCCTCTCCCCCTAAGAAAGTAAGCGACTGCTTCGCTGACATAAAACTAACCATTAAACCCTGACACAGGGAAGTCTTTTATTTGAGTTAAAGGGACGTGTCGTTGGATAGCATGGTCGTGTTTTAGTGAATTCTAGAATGCGTGTGTTCAACGATAGTTGTCACTTTTAACCCTCTCGTTCTATTTTCATCTCAACGTATGTGTCTTGGTATTTTTCCAATTTTGTTGTTGTTTGAGATAGCAGTCCTAAAATAGAACATCTGGCAATGCTTTTACTCTACGCCAGCGGTGCATTTACTAAACTGATTGATGTGTCTATTACATTTATGAACAAAGAATCCGTTCTTTACATTTTAATGCTGGAATATATATCTAATGCATGTTCAGAAACAAACATAAACATTAGGGTTAAAAACATCCATGGTGAATTAAGTCGTTAGGGTAATATCAAAGCGTCCCGCTGCTAGTTATCTCTGAACAAAGTTCTTATCACAGTTGAAAACACTGCAAAGTTAATTAGCGCATTTCTCGGTTCTTTAACTTGTATTTGAAATTCAGTTTCAAAAAACAAGACGTGGTAATACTGTTTGAAAACTATTGTGAGAAATCATTGACTTCTGACAGAGCAGAAATTTTAACCATAGCGGACAATTCAATCTCACCTGGTTTCTTTGAACTGACATTGTATCCCAAAACATCTTTTTTAAATTAGTTCCTATGACCATTACTTAATATATTCTCTGTTTAACGTTTTGGCTCTTCTCCAATTCTCTCCGAGTCTTCTTTCTGATCCTGTCGCAGGAAATAGAAAAAGTGATCATACCAACCAGATTAGAAATTTAAGAAATTGGTTAAAAATGTTCCCTTGAATAGTTATACTCCTACATTAAACACAGTTGGTTAACGCATAAACATTCCTGATTCTCAATATCATTTTACAATTCTTCCATTTGTAATAAGCTCTTAATTCATGTTGAAATAAAAATCCACTTCCTTAGCATAATTGTGAAATGCAACCTCGTTATGTAGAGCAAACGGTAAAATCTAAACTTCTGTTCTTTTCTGCATATGTCACTCTTTAATTACGGAGTATTCAAAGTCCTTCCGAAAAAAGGAGACATGAGGCAACTCTGCACGCGTGCTGACAGCTAATGTTAGCTCCAAAGTAAGCCTGCTGGCCGTTATGATATTAGAGGTCTACTTATGTCTAACCTTGATTAAAATCTCCTTACCGGGTTATAACCTCTGTTTTGAAAAAAAGCGTCTTATCTACGCTGACTGACATTAAATTATATTCCATGACATTAGAAGAAGAAGCGTCCTAAAGGCTGAGCACATACCATCACGGAACCAGTTACGAGAAGAGTTCATACCACACAGACGTGAAGTTCTACTGTTATAAAGTGTTGATATTTGCAACTCTTGAAGCATGGCACAGTTTGTGTATTTTGCTGTTTTGTTGGTGGTTTGTGGAACAGGGGACTCACTGGAAACCACTACCAGCCCTTAACAACGTATTACTGGCGATACCAAGGACTTATGTGAGGTACAAAGCTGAATATCACCTGCCTCTTTTAAGGAAAATCAGTGTGTCGAATATAAGATGTAAAGATATTTTGCATGATTCCCAGTATCTCTCATTTGTGGCAGTTATTCGTTTAATGTAATTAGTTTGCTGACATTTTGCTTGCGAACGGCGATGAGCTTAACTTGAACCTGCCGAAATTTGCTCGTCCTCTTTACTTTTTTTTTTGTCATCAGGGTTTTTGGCACTTCCATATGATTGAGAAGAAAATAAAAGAAAATGGGGAGCATTTTTGTATTTTAGTTTGCTACTTTTTCAACACAAAATGAAACCGGTCTAGTTGCCGGTCTAGTTGCCGGTCTAGATCAGAAAATCTAGACCGCGGTCAATATCGATTTCAGCCAATCAAATTCGTGAATTCGGTAGTTCCCAGTCCTTGTGAGACACAGCCACATAATAAAAAGCGATATAAGAATGTTTGGTTCCTNTATCGATTTCAGCCAATCAAATTCGTGAATTCGGTAGTTCCCAGTCCTTGTGAGACACAGCCACATAATAAAAAGCGATATAAGAATGTTTGGTTCCTAATTCATAGTAAATTCCCTCAAGGAATGTTAATGATCCCCGCTTTGCTCTCAGTAAGAGTTGGCTTCACAAACAAACAAACATTGTTATTCATG